GTGACGCATCTTTGTGTTAATCAACCTTTCCGTCAGAGAAAATCAACGGATCAGTTTGACTTGACAACGTGGGTGGTTGTTGATTTCATTGATGCGTAATCAGGTGCGTCATTTAACGATCCATTCTTGCTGAAGAAGACCGTCTTTTTGACTTCAAAGCTGTTCACAGCAGCACTTCGAACTAGCACTCGCCACCAGAAGGCTCCAGTATATCTATGGTGCGTTTAACCTGTCTCCTTCAAGCCTGCCTCGAGCAATTAGAAAATATTAGAAGTATTCGTAAACCCGAGAACACTTCTGGACCGACACGAGGCTAATGGAGCGTTTCGAAGTTTTTGGAAGATACATTACCGCAACTGATGCGGTCGAAGCGTTGCCAAAGTCATCTGGAGGCAAAATAACAGTAACTAACCAACGCTGAGTGCGTGTAGCATCCCGCAGCTCATCTTGACCGCGAAAGCCATTCAGGACGCGTCCTTAATGTACGCGACTCTTCACCACTCATTCAGCTTAAATCCAGCACGTTTCCCGGTGCATTTAACTGGGTTAGTTATCTGGCGTTGACACGCTTTCTTGCACACGCGGGTCATTCGATGACTCAACTTCAACAGAATGAGCATTTGACGGTTCATTTTGAAGAGGAGATGACTTGGGCGGCACATCCTGAGATGTCATCTCGGACGACCTCTCTTGAGAAATGGGCGTCTTGGATGATTCAGATCCGGCAAGGAGCATTCCTGACGGCTGCAGGTCTGGAGGAGTGAGCGCTGTCAATGCATCGTCCTGAGAGGAAGATGTCTCGGATAACTCCGTCTTGGGAAAGGGTGTCTTGAATGATCCGTCTTCGGAATATGATGCCTCCGGTTTTGGTTGATGTTGAGCAGGGAGCGTCTTGGATTGTTCGTCTTGCGGAGAGATGATCTTCTCTTGATCATCGTGAGTAGCGGATTTTTCATACAGCTCGTTGTTAAAAGAGGATGCATCAAATGACACATGCTGAGAGCAGAGCGCCTCCGTCATCAACTTCTCTGGATGAGAGGACGTCTCCAATGATTCCTCCTGAGGAGAAAGTGCTTCTTCTGACTCACCCTGTGCAGACGGAGCCTTGGATAGACAGTTCAGTGGACCTGGCGTCTCGGGTAGCATCTCCTGAGGAGTCTCTACCTTGGAAGGCTCGTTGCGACTTGAAGGGGTCTCTGATGACCCCTCGCGAGTACAAGGTGTCTCGGATGAGATATCCTGAGTAAAAGGCGTCCCTAAAGTCTCCTCTTCATTAAAATGCGTTTCGCCTGACTTTTCCCGAATACATGGTTTGTTCGACGACACGTCCTCGGCAGCATACTCCACGAATACGTCCTTCTCGTTGCGAGTCGATTTGAATGGCTCCTCTTGAATAGCAGTCACTTCGGGCGACACCTCCTGAGGACGGAGCGTACCGGCGGACCCATCCAGAAACGAGGTTGCGGTGCATGGCTCCCCCTGCAGAGAGAGGGATCCAGATGGCTCATGCTGACAAAAACGCGTGTGTGATGACCCTTCCGAAGGACATGGCGTCTTGGATGACTCCTCCTGAAGAGACGACACCTTTGAGGTTTCCTCTTTACTAGTAGGTGTTTGGCGTGACATACTCTCAGTAAACAGCCGTTCAAATGGCTCATCTGCTCGAACATTGGCTTGTTTGGGTACATTACATGGAGAAGAGAGCGTCTCGCATGGTTCATCGTGATGAGCAGGCGCACCGAGTGACTCCTGATCACGTGACGTGACCTGGAAAGGGGCGCCAACCGACTTATCTACATCGGCGCCGGCGCCAACGGGGGCTTGGAAGCCATCTTGAACAATCGACGGAGACAGACGGTCCGCCGCCTTCACCTTCAGTGGCTCCGAATCCATATACTTCCGCGGTTCGACCTGATCAAGGATAGGGCGTGCTGTTTCAGACTGGTCATCAGCAACCGCCAGTGTCAAGATCTCATCAGTCCGAGAGCCGGTTGGTGCATGCTTGTCTTGACCAGTGTTGGGATTTTGTGGACTATCATGACCCACTGCGTCCTCTGGTGTCTTAGTTTGACTTGTCAAACCGTTTCACCGCGCCTGCGCACTCTTCCGCGTCTCCATGCGCCACATTCAGTGATGCGCCTTCAGTGGGTAAACGCATCGGGCGACTCAGAGTTAGGATGCTGAGGAGACTTGGGAGATTCAAGAGGGCCGGCTGCAAGGCCGGCTTCGCACGGCCCAGGCTCACTTGTTGCGTCCAGACCCTGGACCGCATCAGTGGATGCACATAAGACGATGGTTGTATCCTGGTTGGAGCTAGCATCCGGAGACGCGGCCTGATCGATGGACGGAGCGTCCACCTGACCGGGTCCGTCAACATGTGCGACAGGAGAACTATCGGCTACAAAGTTGGCGACGGGACTACCGAGAGAGACGTCACTCTCGGGATGGCCAGGACAGAGATCTAATGCTTCTTCAGAATCGGCGGGGGCGTTGAGCGACTCCTGCATCATGGGGAGTTCCTTGGAGGCCGGTTCACTCTGGGAAAACAGCGTCACTGTTGGAAGGATTCAGCACTGAAGCGTAGGTTCATTTGTCAGCATTGAATCACGGCTCCACCCACCTGCTATCTTGTCATACCGCTTGTCACAGCCTGTACTCTACACGCGGGCTACTCCGGCCCGAGCCGTTAGAGAGCCGTCCTCAGGGGCGGAGCTTCCAAATTAAGTCGGGGAATGAGGGGGGGGGGGCTCCAGCCCTCAACCAGGGATCCAGGCTTGGAGGGATGGAGGGAGTTGGGATAGGGATCCCAAACTGGAGAAAGAGTGGACCAAATCAAAGGAGAAACCCGTTTGTTGGCGTGTTTTCGGGGTACATTTCGTCATTTTTCGACGCTCAGTCTCTCACGCTGACCGATTTTGCAAAACTATGCGCCTGACTATGCTGTATATATGCTCGTAAAATATTAAATGAATTTTGAGGACACCCCGAAACCATTGCACCATGTCAAAATTAGTCTTTTATGTTCTATTCAGGGTTTATAAGACACTCGTCATGCCTCTCATGTTTTTATATAATGTCAAATGTCTTTCCATTCAACACTTCGCGTTCGTCTCATAAAGTTTAGATTAGAAAAAAAAATGTCAATGGATAGCGTTGGCGATTCTCCATTTCTAGAGTTGTCAGACGTGGGCTCAATCAAGCAGTGGCGCCATTTCACAGATCACCTCGCTTGAAAACCCGCCTCACCGTGGGTCTAAATGCCGGCACGTCAGTTTCGGTCGACAGGAACGAGGAAATTCATAGTTTCGGTAACTGCGAACGTAGTTTTGCAAAACGGCCAATGCACGAAGGGCCTACTGGTCGCCACGGGCTGGACTAGCGCCTTTGCCGTCTTCATGACCCAGCCCACCTTGTTTGGGCCGGGGCAGGTTGTATTTAAGACCTGTTTCGAAACGTGACATTGACAAGTAGATGACTGACACACCTGTGGGTCAGGCGGTAGCCACATCGTTCCCTCATTCGTAGACCGTGTAGTTGCCACAGCGCTCGCATTGTTTCGCGTCTTAATCTACTCTAGTAACCGATAAGTAGAAAGAGTAGCGGACCCACGGTCTCAGTTCGAAGGTACCTGGCCGTTGAATGCTCCGACCGGGTCTAGTTTGAGACGTGCTGTGCAGTTTTTGTTGTTGCAATAATGACATCTTATATTTCCCATATGAATCCAAGGGATGAGGCTATATTTTGCTTGCATTTCAGTGTTACAGAAAAGGTTGCGCAATATCGAAATGCCGATGTTCACATATAAAAATCAGTATGATCAAATAGCATTTACGGATATGCCCAAAAATACATGCAGCACAGCTGTAACACAAATGCATTTATTGTCGCTGAAAACTGCATAGAGGTTCTGTAAGTAAGTGCAAAGACATTGGTTTCCGCAAAGCGTACAGGCCGGGTCGTCAACCGAATTGATAACTGCTTTTACCGTTCAAGAGGCCCCCCCCCGTCCAGCGGCCTGGCCAGTAGTTATATATACCTCTTTGCTAAAGCATAATATGTTGTATGCATATCATGCATGCATCACTTTATTAACACATACGTGCAAAACACGGGCAACATTTTGTTATCAAGCACATGCAAAATGTTGGCCATCTTTGTATTTTTCATCTTTCTTCAAAGGCTGATATCGGCCGCGTCACATGAGCTTAGTGAATGGTATCACATTTTAAGATTATCAGCCAGGTGTTCGAAACAGTTCATTTTCATCAGAGATGAAACCGGAAACCGGCCGTGATAATGGCTGGAGCTTTCTCCGATTCATCCACATTACGGGCCATCCGGTGACATTCTGCAAACCTCCTCTGACCTTTTGCTGACCTTTTGGTACGAGATACCGGCCTTCCGTTGATCCGACCCAGTCCTATAATAGTTCCTATATGGAGGCAGTGACTTACGATCGACGGCCCGACATCGTCCTCACCGCCGCGGCTACCTGAACTATGGTCCGCTCGCTATCGGAAATTCGTTCAGGTGCCACGAGCCCTCAGGCGATTCAGCCAGACTGTGTGTGTATGCCCCCTCTCCTCTATCTATCTGGGTATAGAGGTTGATAAAAACCAACTGAAGACACAGCTGACTTATTGTCGGAGCCAATACGCAGCTTGGTTCGTCTTGGCGTGCAATCTCGTCTGAGCACTTATCTCGAAGTTTGTACGGAGCTATTGGCTAAGAGTTTTCGGCATTCGCCATAGCGATTACCGTTCTGCTCAGCGGTGTGGTCGCCACTCGCCCTCGGCCAACCACCGAACGCCATTCCTTGGGCGGATGCCACTACGACGGAGACTATCCAACCACGACTTCTCACAGTCTGCTGCCATTTTAAAGCCTTGCCATGACGTGCCCGCAGCTTCCAGTCTCTAGCCCACCTACGCGACCGAAGCCGGCCGAGGGTGGCCGAAGCCGGCCACCTGGTGCCGGTCCGGTGAGTTGTCTGCCCTCACCTGGTAGGCGGCCACGGCCAGCTCGTTGATGGCCGGCGATGAGGCCGGGTGTGACGTCGGCTGCTCCTCCCGCTCGTCCAGCATCTCCATACTCTGGCTCCGGCTGCGCAGCTTGGCGCTCCGAGACAGCCGGTTGCACAGCGACACCACCCGCAGCGAGTGCTGGCAACGGAAGCGACGCTTTCACCACGATATCACACATGATATCCCCATGATATCACAGCGAGTGATAACACATGCAGGGTTCTGCCTGCAAGGAGCATGTAATTATAGAGAAATGGCACATACAGCATACAAATACATTTTGTAATGGCTATACTGGTAAGGTCCAAAGAGAGTGCTGCCAATGTGAGCCAGTGAGTTACAGACAAGAACCGATGATCGCAGCCCCAATGTGAGCCAGTGAGTTACAGACAAGAACCGCTGATCGCAACCCCAATGTGAGCCAGTGAGTTACAGACAAGAACCGCTGATCGCAGCCGGCTCGGGAACACGGGTAGGACGAAGGGACGCGGCATGTAAGGGACCACTTCTGATGGAGCACGGCCAGCGCGGAGTGCTCAAACACGGGTACCACGGGGGGGGGGGGGGACGCGGCGTGTAAGGGACCACTTCTGACTGAACACGGCCAGCGCAGAGTACTCAAACACGGGTACCACGGGGGGGGGGACGCAGCATGTAGGGGACCACTTCTAACGGAACACGGCCAGCGCGGAGTGCTCAAACACGGGTACCACGGGGGGACGCGGCATGTAAGGGACTTCTTCTGAGGGAACACGGCCAGCGCGGAGTGCTCAAACACGGGTGCCACGCGGGGACGCGGCATGTAAGGGACCACTTCTGACGAAACACGGCCATCGCGGAGTGCTCAAACGCGACACTGAAAAGCGTTTACGCTAACACAAGACCCCGGTCGTTGGCCGACAGACGGCCGGAGGGGTGAAGAGGAGGCTCAAGTCCTGTTGGCAGGCGGAAGCCAGTACCTAAGTGCTGCTCTGCCCGCTAGTTACACGTGTTATGATGTCTGACAGCGCTGGCTGCACGGCGCAGGCGATCCCAGTGACTCACCACAGGGCATTCCTGGAGCACTAAACGGGACAAGGGAGACGTCCCCCGACGAGTTTTAAGACAGATCCCAAAGCTTGCGCTCCACCACAACGGAGGTCAAGTGTCCCTACCCGGAAAGGAGCGGCCCCGTCTCGTTGCTCCGATCATTATCCGTTCCTTGACACGCGCCGGTCGGAGCGCGGCGGCACCGGTGCGTGACGCCCGCAGCTCGGCCCGGCCCCGGTCCGGAGCCGTATTGACCAGCGGGGCCGGCCGGCGGCGGCTACGACCGGGGGCACGGCGCCCTGCACTGGCGCCGCGCTGCACTGCAGCCGCGTCCGCCAGCATCGATTGGAGGCGGTGCTCCAAGCTAGGGACCAGGTCATGACCTTGGGGACGAGGACGGAGCCGAGACGAGCTGGGCACCGGGTCATGACCTTACGGCAGAGTCACGACCGGTCGGAGCCGAGCCGAACTGGGCGTCGGAGCATGACCTCACGATAAGGTTATGACCGGTCGGAGCGAAGAGGACCTGGGCATCGGGCCATGACCTCACGGCAGAGGCACGACCGGCCGGAGCAAAGTGGAGCTCTACACCGAGTCATAAACTGAGGAGAAAGGAGAATCCCGAGCAACCCGGCACTGGACACCAGGTAACGACGTCGCGGGGGCGAAACGCACAGGGCTGAACACTGGCTCTCAGTCTGCTTCTCAGCGCATTCACAGGGCATCTGCGTAAACAAAGGATATCAAGGATGCTAACAGAATGAGCCTACTCTTCCCCACCCAAAGCGATGAAAACCTGTTCTGCGAACTTTGTATAATAATGGGCGCCCAACTGTGCCATCGTCCCAGCAAAGCATGGGTGATAACGGACAAACAACCCGTCATCACCGCGTGAAATGACCTGGGCGGGACCGTCAAGGTCAATAAATCTCGGTTTACTTGTGATCTTAGCGGAAGGAAGCAGGAGTGGACCAACCAAGGTAGGCATCACACATCCGGGACCATCACTATAAATCCAAATACTGCCACTGGCGGTATTTTCTCCTGGAGTTCAGAAAGGTCGCATTCATTACCCACTGGCGTTATTTGGCGCTCTCCGCGATAATGATGCGCTGGCTCTGCCACATGTGTGATATTGTTGTGCGGCGTTCGGCAAACACCGCGAACGGTACAATATGACAGTTGCTCCATAAACAAGCGAGCTTCACCGGCGGCGTCGTGCCCGAACGGCGAAAGTTTCAATAGATCCCCACGTGCTGAAAGGGCTGGGCTGGTTGTCTATTAAGTCTATTCAGCAATAATTCGCGTTAAGGACCCTGATCAAGGCATATCAAGTGCTGTCAACAGACGAGCCGTAGTCTGTTCGCACGCCTGGGTTCCGTTGTAGCACAAACCTCATCACAGACGAGATCCGGCAATACGGCGACTTGGATTTCGCTGATTCGAGGACCAGATGGGGCAAGGGCACGTTTGTCCACTGTGCCAACGAACTGATAACGATTATTTACTGACTAATACTGATTACTGATTATTTACAGATTACGTCGCATTGCAACATTTTCTCCTTCCATCAGATCGACATCAGGCCGTGACATGTGGGATAAGGAGAACGTGACAACACCACCAAACATGCGACAGACGCCACTGAAATGGCGCAGCACGCGTGGAGGACGGCATTACCGTAACGAGTCACACGTTGAAGCCTTGAAGTGAATCCCTTAAAATGCCTGCGGAAGCCAAAAAGAGCTAGTCATTGCTGGAAGTGCTAGATGTCACGCCTAATTACAGTATTGGGTTTACTGTTCACACCTAATCTTAAACTTATTGACAAGTTTTCATTAGATTATAGGGGGTCCTTAGGTCCTATAGGGGTCCTTGATAGAAAATGGCAGTTATTTCTTGCGTTGCAGTGTTATTGCCTAAAGATTAACTTGGTAGCTTTAAAGCGCCTACAACCATGCTCAGCTCGTTGCATAAGCTCATTTTGCATTCTGTGCACTTGGCCAACCTTTGCGCCTTCTTTATGTGCATCATCGGTCTTGCTTTCCAGTCACGTGAGCGGGCTTGTGCAAGTGTGACCCCGCCGAATAAATCTTCAGCCAACGACCAGGTGTCCAATGATCCACGTCCCGCCTGGCCGGCAACAGAAGCCACGGGCGGCGGCTGGGCCGGCGTCCGGCGGCCCGCGCGCCGCACCTGTGGGTGCTCCGTCGGTGGCACCAACAGGTCGATACTAGGCCGACACGCGCCGAGCCGCCTCGGACGGCGGCCCCGCTCAGCGCGGTCCACGCCGCCGCACAGGTCACTTCCGTCCGGCACTAATGCCCGGCCCATGCCAGAGGCGGTGTCGGCCGCACCGGTCCGCACCGTCCCGGCCGACTCGGATGACGTCAGTCACGTCATTCCGATAATGAACTCGGCGCTGGTCGTCGGCTGCTGACGATGGATAAAAGAAGTGTGTTGACATGGATCCGGTCTGCACCTGGGGAGGCTGGAACGTATGGGTTCCGCCCTTCATACTTAAGCCATACGCGTCCAAATGTCACGCCTCCATGATAACGAAACCCCTCTCACAAATTCGGGACATGACCTAACTACATAACATCATGCCATGTTTATAGCTGGTTGACAGAGCGGTAAGAAATCCAAACCTGAACCACTCACATCAGCTCAGAGACGGGAGCCGCCATCAGTTCACAGGCAGGAGCTGCCAACATGAGCTCAGAGGCAGGAGCCGTTCACCTCGACTCAGAGGCGTCAGCCAGCCACGTCAGCCAGAAGCGTCAGCCGGTCATATCCTCTCGGAGGCGTCAGCCAGCCACATCAGCTTAGAAACGTCAGCCGGTCATATCCTCTCAGAGGCGTCAGCCAGCCACATCAGCCTAGAAGCGTCAGCCGGTCATATCCTCTCAGAGGCGGCAGCCACCCACATCAGCTTAGAAACGTCAGCCGGTCATATCCTCTCAGAGGCGGCAGCCGCCCACATCAGCTCAGCGCAGGGGTGTCACTTTCTAAAATTGGTTTGAAGAGGGGCGGGGGGGGGGGGCGGGCTCAGCCAGAAAGATTGCCACAACCTACCTCCAAAATTTGATTTCTCCCTGGATTTTTCTCCTTGAATTTGCGTCTCCTATATTCGAATTAAAGAAAAGTCCTTTTGATATTTTGTAAAATCATACTTGTTTTCCTGTTGACGGCTAGCCTCCTATTTCAAGATAATGTGAGCTGCCTTTTTGAAGAAGAAGCTTAGAAGGGGTGTAATTTACAGGAATATATCGTCGTAAATCTTATAAGGGCATCTCTGCTCACTACCGCTGTCGCTAATCATATTTTACAGCCAGTACAGTCACGGTTTTGCGACAAATGCACTTGCCACTGCTGAAGAAAGGCTACGTTATCCTTTATCTGGGCCGCCCTGTACCTCTGAAAATTGCTGCGTATTGCAATCAATGGTTTTCATACCAACCCAGCCCTTATCATTTGGAAAAAAACAGTCGAAAATTAGTAGATTGGCTTAACATATAAAGGGGTAAGTATGACACAAATTTAGGTGCCTACAGCATACCATTCGGTACAAAATTAACGTGATACTAACAGTAATGCGTCTAGGTACCTACGAGCTGGTATACCAAAGGTTAAGATAATTGTTCTGTAAATATTCGGTCCAGTATTCCCTATTTGTTTAAATGCATTGACGGGGCTACGACGAGCATTAAGGGGTCCAGCCCCACCGAAAATATATAAAGTGACGCCTCCGGCTCAGCGGCAGGAGCCGCCCACCTCAGTTCAGAGACAGGAGGCGCCCACATCTGTTTGGAGGCAGGAGCCGCCCACCTCAGTTCAGAGACAGGAGCCGCCGACATCAGTTTGGAGGCAGGAGCCGCCCACCTCAGTTCAGAGACAGGAGGCGCCCACATCAGTTCAGAGATAGGAGGCGCCCACATCAGTTCAGAGACAGGAGGCACCCGCCTCAGTTTGGAGGCAGGAGCCGCCCACCTCAGTTCAGAGACAGGAGGCGCCCGCCTCAGTTTGGGGGCAGGAGCCGCCCGCCTTAGTTCAGAGATAGGAGCCGCCCACCTCAGTTCAGAGACAGGAGGCGCCCACATCAGTTTGGAGGCAAGAGCCGCCCACCTCAGTTCAGAGACAGGAGGCGCCCACCTCAGTTTGGAGGCAGGAGCCGCCCACCTCAGTTCAGAGACAGGAGGCGCCCACATCAGTTTGGAGGCAGGAGCCGCCCAACTCAGTTCAGAGACAGGAGGCGCCCACCTCAGTTCAGAGACAGGGGGCGCCCACACCAGTTTGGAGGCAGAAGCCGCCCACCTCAGTTCAGAGACAAGAGCCGCCCACACCAGTACAGAGTCAGAAACCGCCCACATCAGCTCAGATGAGTCAACCGCGGACAGCAGCTCAGAGATGGGAACCGTCCGCATCAGCTCAGAGGCAGGGGCACTCGCCCTCACCCCGGCGTGTTTTGTTTAGACCCATGTCTGGAGATGAGGTGACATTTAGAAAGAAAACTAAGCCTCGCGACCTTCGCGTCAATACTTTCCGTGGCCGCAGTAACAGCAAGGTGGCAAACGACAAGAGGAAGGCCAGCGCAAGGCAAATACGACCGATGTTCCGGAGAACACGGACATTACCTCTAGGTAGCTAAGCCCCGGCGGCGATCGCGGCGCGGCCACAGAGGGTCGTACCAGAAACTGACACACATCACGCGTCAACATCCAGCTCATCCAGCCACACGTCCCGCCTGCCGCGCATCCAACCACCTTCCAGCGTCGTCGAGCCTGGTACGTCTACCCACCTTCCAGCGTCGCCGAGCCTGGTACGTCTACCCACCTTCCAGCGTCGCCGAGCCTGGTACGTCTACTCACCTTCCAGCGTCGCCGAGCCTGGTACGTCTTCAGGTTGTCGATGTTCACTTCCTTGTCGTTCTGCTCCTGCTTCTCCTCCTTCCCGCGGGGCTACCGGACACGGGGCAGCCGAAGCGTCAGCAGCCGGGACGCCTCCTCGGCCATGCGGAAAATCGTCCGATCGCTTGCCACGCCCCGCTGGGCCGCAGCTATGTTATGGAGTGAGCAGCGTACCGCGAACACTGCACGGGTCACGCCATCATCGTCGACACGTACCGTCGCACCGGCGACGTTGCCGGAAGAGACCCGTTGGCGTCACTCGTTGGCGATGCAAACCAGTGTGAGATGCGATATCCGGCATGCAGCCAACTTCTGAAATCCCCCCGGGCGACCTCCGCCCATTTCCCGTCGCCGGAATGCATTAGAGGGGCCCGACTCAAATATAACAGAGCGTCGCTCAGGCTGGCCGATTAACTGAGGCGGCAAGGGACGCTGCCAGCGGCGACTGTCGACTCGCCGTTTGATCGGGTCAGGCGGTGCAAGCGGCTGGCACGCCGCCGATCGATACGGCCTGGACGGTGCGCCTGACCGCCGCCCCGGCCGCCGCCGGTGGGTACCGACTGCGGCCGGCGGCGCGCTAGCCAGGCAGCTTGCACCCCGCTCCGAGGACGGCGTATGTGTGCCGCGCCGCGGGGAGCCGCCCGCCTACTGAGCACTCGGGCGTGCGAGGCCTCCGCGCTCTGGGACTGGGGCTGGCGGTGTTCCCTCCGAGGTCATCCCACCACCATCCGCCAGCCGATGCTCTGAAGCTGTGCTCGTGGTTGAACGCGCCGAAGGTATCGGATCTGAGGAGACTGACGAGGTGCTGCAGTCCCTCGGATCCGTACTAAGCGGGCCGGTGCCAAAAATAAGCGCTTTGCGATGCAGTGCATTATTCAGATGGCAGAAACGAGCACATGAAATGTCACAGCATCTCTTAGTTACGGTTACTATCACCAAATCCAAGCACATTAAAAGTGGAAACAAGCCTTCGAGTTCTACATTTCGGGGAGCCATGTGCTTTGACTTCTCGTGACTATTGGTTAGCCTGCGTGGCGAATCGTCAATGGAGAAAACCAAACACTTGGGCGAAAAGCACATCTGACCGTACACCATTTACCATTTACACGTACACGTACACCATTTAACTCGCCAGCAATTGGCGGGGCGCACGACACGAGTGCTGACCGTTAACCGAGCTATACAGCGCAGGCTTCGACGCCCATCGAGCCTGCAATACCCGGACACTCTGAGAATAGTGACACATATTCCGGGCTCTTTTCATATCACTCCAGTAGTTGCCGGCAAGGGTGAGCTGAAATCAGGGGAGCGGGCGGCTCTTAGCAGTGTCGTCAGTCTGTACCTCTCGGCCCGGGTGAGGAGCCGATAGAGGGCGGAGCTCACCTCTATCCAGGGATGGCGCAGACACTCGCGGACGTCAGCTCTGCCTCTGTGGACAGACGGAGGCGCAGTGTCGGTCAGACGGCCGCCGGCTCGCCGTCGTGTGCCATTGATTCGGTGGCCGCGCGCGAGGGCGCCGAAAGGCCGCGCCTCTTCGACATCGACCAGCGGCCCTGACCGGCGACCCGCGGGCGGGGGCGGGCGGCGGTGTCGGGCGACACGGCGGCGCCGATGAGACGCCGAACGCCCAGCCGGACGTCGGGCACAGCCGGGGCGCCGCGGCGCCGGTGGCGGTCAACAACGCACGGATGGCGCCGGAGCTGCCGGCGAGCAGCCTGACTCAGTTGACCATGGTGTGGCGGGCGCCGGGACTAATTCAATAATGACCTATTTCCCGCGCAGCGCGGCCACACCGGGGCGAGTCGATAGCGTGTCAAGACCCAGACCCGGACAGCGGTGGGGCCGAGTACATCCATTGCCGAGTACCGCCAGCTCCGGACAGCCGATGCATCAGCCCCCGCGCTACGGCTTTAAAGAATGCGGCCTGCAGCTGGTCCGTCCCTTAATTACGTCACACCAAGAGGGGATGGGGTTTTGATGTAGCGTAAATGAAGTGTAACGAGGGGAAGGAGGGGGCGGAGCGCTAAGCCGGGTGTGATTGTAAATCATGCTAAAATCTGAAAAAAACTGAAATCCGGGAAGTGTCACGTTTCTCTCATGGGTAAGCACCAAAACCACTTAGCTTCATTAAGGGCAAAGCGGACTGAAGTGCGCAACCAGTGGAAGCGGATCGATAAATCTCTAAAATGCCCACTGCATTTTTCGGACGACTTTCCAGGGCTCAGTGACACGGACAAGCGTCATCGATATAGCGCGGGGCGACAGGATGAGACGCCCTCGGCACCAGGCTGTCACGTGTACAGTACGTCACGGCCGTGGCACCAGGCTTGTCACGTGTACAGCGCGTCACGGGCCGTGGCACCAGGCTGTCACGTGTACAGTACGTCACGGCCGCGGCACCCACCAGGCTGTCACGTGTACAGTACGTCACGGCCGTGGCACCAGGCTGTCACGTGTACAGTAAGTCACGGCCGCGGCACCAGGCTGTCACGTGTACAGTGCGTCACGGCCGTGGCACCAGGCTGTCACGTGTACAGTACGTCACGGCCGTGGCACCAGGCTGTCACGTGTACAGTACGTCACGGCCGCGGCACCAGGCTGTCACGTGTACAGTACGTCACGGCCGTGGCACCAGGCTGTCACGTGTACAGCACGTCACGGCCGCGGCACCAGGCTGTCACGTGTACAGTACGTCACGGCCGTGGCACCAGGCTGTCACGTGTACAGCGCGTCACGGCCGTGGCGCCAGGCTGTCACGTGTACAGTACGTCACGGCCGCGGCACCAGGCTGTCACGTGTACAGTACGTCACGGCCGCGGCACCCACCAGGCTGTCACGTGTACAGCGCGTCACGGCCGCGGCACCAGGCTGTCACGTGTACAGCGCGTCACGGCCGCGGCACCAGGCTGTCACGTGTATAGCGCGTCACGGCCGCGGCACCAGGCTGTCACGTGTACAGTACGTCACGGCCGTGGCACCAGGCTGTCACGTGTACAGCACGTCACGGCCGCGGCACCAGGCTGTCACGTGTACATTACGTCACGGCCGCGGCACCAGGCTGTCAGTGTACAGCGCGTCACGGCCGTGGCGCCAGGCTGTCACGTGTACAGACGTCACGGCCGCGGCGCCAGGCTGTCACGTGTACAGTACGTCAACGGCCGCCGGCACCCACCGCTGTCACGTGTACAGCCGCGTCACGGCGCGCAGCACCAGGCTGTCACGTGTACAGCGCGTCACGGCCGCGGCACCAGGCTGTCACGTGTACAGCGCGTCACCGGCCGCGGCACCAGGCTGTCACGTGTACAGTACGTCACGGCCGTGGCACCAGGCTGTCACGTGTACAGCACGTCACGGCCGCGGCACCAGGCTGTCACGTGTACAGTACGTCACGGCCGCGGCACCAGGCTGTCACGTGTACAGTACATCACGGCCGTGGCACCAGGCTGTCACGTGTACAGTACGTCACGGCCGCGGCACCCACCAGGCTGTCACGTGTACAGTACGTCACGGCCGTGGCACCAGGCTGTCACGTGTACAGTACGTCACGGCCGCGGCACCAGGCTATCACGTGTACAGTACGTCACAGGCCGCGGCATCCGGCTGAGATGAGGCGTCTGAGAACCTCTTGCTGATTTAGGTGGTCTGGACCGGCACTGGCACATCCAGCACCGACCGTAGCAGGCAGTCACTTACGACGCCTGAGAACGTCCTCCGCGGGCATGTGCAAGGAAAGGAGGACAAGCTCTCTCTTGCCAGAGATTGATCTCTTGCTCTCTCCCTCAGACCTTTATGCCCATGGCGTGCATGTGTCAACATTTTGCCGTCGCACGCAGGGCACAGCCGAACTATGCACAAATGCTACCCAAAACGAGCAGAGCAGCTAGCTGCTCAAAAAACGAATTGGTTGAATATAGAGTATGAATATAGGGTATCTTATGTTGACAGCATGTACGTGCACTACTTCTTTCCGTGAGTCCTTATCAACAGGTGAAATCACTTCTTGTATGCACTACGGCGCGTGCTGGAAAGGGTTTAGCATAAACAGCCAAGTTCACAATCGCGTGCATTTGTTTTGTTAGTTGATATTGCATTGCGGCGCAACACACATGACATGACTAAACATGGTGATAGTCTGTTCACGTGGAAATTAAAATCAGCATGGTGCGAGCACGCAAAAAAGCAGAATCACTTCTAAATTGTTAATAAAATTGTCATATTGCTAAATTGTTAATAAAAGCCTGGTCGTAACGGGGTCCAACCAGAGAGCAGTGGGGTTTTTTCATAGCAGACTGCGTGGAATGTGAGGGGTCCCTTGCCGCCAGCCGTCAGTCAGCTGCACTAGCACGCAGGAGGGGTCCCTTGCCGCCAGCCCTCAGTCAGCTGCACAGCACGCAGGAGGGGTCCCTTGCCGCCAGCCGTCAGTCAGCTGCACAGCACGCAGGAGGGGTCCCTTGCCGCCAGCCGTCAGTCAGCTGCACAGCACGCAGCCGGTCACACGTGACGTTCCAGCCACAATGTCCGTACAATGCCCTGGCCACCTGGTGCAGCTGCGCTCACCACTGAGCGGCCACGTCGGCCCTCTGCCCGCGCTGCGTCCTCTGTCACAAGTCCTTCCCACGCGCACAGCACGAGAGTGACAAACCGCTGCCGCTGTGAGCCACAGACCCGCGGATACCACAGCCGCGCTGCGCGAGGTCCGGACCCCACCACCGCGCCCCCGTCGCCTCGGTATCGACTAAGCCCGACCTGACGCGATCGAGTCGAAGGCGACGTAAGCCAGCGGGAGGTAGTGCCCGATGACCGTGGCGGGCGACCCCTTATCATCTGGCCACGGGTTACACGCCAAGCCCTTGTCATCGGGCCACGAGTGACACGCCCAGTCTTGACAACGTTACTCCCCGTTGTGTCCTGTACAATTATCCGAAGTTAGGAGCACGAAGGACACATGACAATCGTGGGCTCCAAGTGTCTTGAACAAAGGCATTGTCGGACACCAATGTAAGCCATACGCTTGCGAAAGTAACCGGGAAAGAACCCAGGCACATCACTAGCGTTACTCGATGCTAATGTATCTACATCCAACATTCACTGACTCCTCAAACATTTAGACGGTCATGAATGCAGTAAAAGGGCCTTTGTGTGTAGAATTTCTGTCTGGCCGGCGCACATTCACAGCGGCACTCCTTTCTATAAGTGATGAGAACATCACCCGTCCATTCTGATACCAAGAACTCCTCAAACACATGGCACGGAAGTCGCCACAAACTGTAACTAAAGCTGACGGCAGCGCATTTGCCAGTTACTGAGACCTCGTCCTGGTATGCAATATACGAAGCCGTTTCCTGTTACGCAGTAATGCAGACGGGCCGCCGAGCGGACTTCAGTGGCGCTGTGGACGCCGGCCCGGAGGGCGAGCGACGGAGCGACACATATTGGCCCGACCACGTACCGTAGACCAGGCTGGACATACCTCCAAGGCCCATCCACGCGCTGCTCTCCCTGGCTTATGGAATACAGTCGGAGCCTTTGCAGACACCAGATGAAAGGCTCAGAGACCAAGCTGGCTAGCCAGCTGCAAAACTAACAAACAAACCAACACGATGCAGCAAACTAACTGCTGGCACAGCGATAATGTGGCAGGCTGTTAGCATCCGCAGCCGGACAGCAGCCGGATTCAGTGGACGGTCATGCTCTAGCATTGAATAGCACAATATTTCTTAGCTATAGCCGACCCGGCCATAATTCACATGCGCCCGGGTGACCGGTTGGATACCCTTCACATGCGTTCCGGGTGACCGGTTGGATACCCTTCACATGCGTCCGGGTGACCGGCTGGATACACTTCACATGCGCCCGGGTGACCGGTTGGATACCCTTCACATGCGTCCGGGTGACCGGTTGGATACCTTCGCATGCGCCCGGGTGACCGGCTGGATATCCTTCACATGCGGCCCGGGTGACCGGCTGGATACCCTTCACTCAGGTGGGGCCCAATCTGGCCACATCGAAATCTCAGGAACTAAGAGAACTAGCGACAACCAAATTCACAGGGTGTATTGGCCTGTACGTGAACTCACTTAGGTTAGACTTTAAGCTTCCTAGGTTGAACTTCGGGCCAAATAAGGTCAAACCAGGTCATACTCCAGGTTGGTCTCCAAAGTTTCCCGGAACCTAGATGCCTGTTCTAACCAAAAGGTCACATGTTCATTAAGGGAGTGACCTTGTCTGACCTTTCGAAGGTCATGGTAACCAAAATCACACCAGACTGCTTTAAGTTTTGCATTTGAATGAGCGACAAAGATTACACCAGACAGTAATGTTCCCTAAAAGCAAATGTGACCCGGGTATTTTAGGTCAGTAAGCTATTCTGACCTTTAGGAAGTCATGAAAGATGCATAAGGCGGTTCCTGTTATCACTACGTTGAAATGCGCACCAGAACCTTTCCCATGCAGCAAGCCCTAGAGCAATGAGACAGTTTCGTTTCCACCTTGATCTGACCACCATACATGACCCTTGGTCAATGGAATTTGCTCATTTAATTGTTGTGTTGCCTAAGAAAGTATCTCAGAGTTGTATGACTTCGTCCAACACTCCACTGTTGTTTAGATGGAACGATTCCCTTAAAAATTGACTTCGCTGTATCCATGGCATGGGTTGTGACTTGCCGTGGGCCAGCAGCCTTTTAAGATACATCTAAATTTGTGGTACCAAACGATCCGCTATTCTATTTTCTACAGCTATGCAAAATTTGGCGCGGCTACACCGCACCGTTCGGAAACCGTTTCCGAAAAAAACTTTGGGGAGGGGCGGAGAGTCACATTGAGCGTGTGTTAATGGTGTGAGGCCGCTGTTAAGTAGAATATTGTCCGGGTTGGTGGTGCCAATGAGCGGAATTAGGTGTATTTTGTGCCACAAATTTTGTTTCGGTGGGTCCGCAGAACTCTATATGGCAAGCATTTAGTTCAATCTGAGGAGCGTTTTCCGTGCTAATGATTCAAAGGCATGGGACAATGAAAAAAGCAACTGTTACAACCATTTTGTACGTAACGTTTTAAATGCGAGTGCTTAAAAGGATAGCATAGAAGTGGTGTCCGTTAATTAGGCGTAGGCTTAAAGTATTCCGGGTAGCATGAAGGAACGTTTTCTATTCTAGCGCGCAGCAAATCGAAGTGCAATAGGGGTGGAACCAAATGGCCTCGCCCGACCTCCAAACAGCGGAGTTTAATGTAAAACGAACTTTAATTCTAACTCCAACACATATAATATCATTAAGCAGCTAACTTCAAAGTGGTCAGGTTCGATAAAATAATCAAAACTAGCCGTACAAATTTGTACGTATCGTCGTCGTGTGATGGTTCTGATTGCGTGTGATGTGATTTGCGAACAAATTGGAAAAAAGAATCGCCGTGCAAAACGACCTATAGCAAGTCCATGGCTAAAAGCATGCGTAGAAAATGCATTCCAGTAAGACGTAGCTACGCAAATTGCTGCTACACACGTATAAACCCCAACTGCAATATTTTATATTACTTTTGGCCTAACTGAAAGCGATATCCGGCACCGTGTGCTTGCTGTTATTGAGACACTAGAGACACTATTGAGCCTTGAGATGAACCATCTCTTACGCTATCTCAATTAAAAGCTTTTTGATTTTGGAGCTCATTCTTACTCCAATCGGCATCACGCACAGACCTGCTGTCAGGCAACACCCCCACCCAACATGGTCCGCCCTCACGCCCCGCGTCACTAAGGGGTGGAGCAAGCACCCAGGACAGCGCTGCGAGTTATTCCACCAGGCCATCGTGGTGGCCGTCCGGAGATCCGGCGACACGTTACCTGGGATCTCGGACAAAGAGACGCGAGATGAAGTCCTTGGCTGACTCGGAGGTGCCACTGAAGTACTCCTCGTCGAAGTAATAATCACAGGCCACAATGTTGGCGAACGTCTCCTGCTGGGTATCTCCCAGGAACGGAGAGGCGCCAGATAGCCTGTCGGCACACAGGCGGACTCGGTTCACGCACTCGGCCGATCGGGGACAGGTTTGGTCTGGATAGAGACTCTGGGGCCGGCAGTGACCATTTGGACGAATTCCTGGGCGGTGATGTTACTACTCACGTGTGGAATACAACAAAGAACGGTTTCGGGGCAAATAATGGAGTGGTTAATATGAAAATGAGGGTATAACAGGACTGGAGAAAATACGGCGAGGGTCGAAAGCAGACACACACAGCTAAATTTAGAGCAGACACACGCACCCAAATTTAGAGCAGACACACACGGATAAATTTAGAGACATAAGCGTCCGTCACGCGTTGGGAAGCGTCGACAGACAGTTCTTTAAAACAAAACTGCGGCGGACAAACGCAAATCGACAAACACTTCTGACGGTGTTTAAAGGCACGAAATATGATATAGTTGTTTGTTCCAATCTGCCTGCCAAGTGAAATAGCGACACTATTGACTGGATGATTTTCCGAGAAAAGACTCCCGCCGGTTTGTTTCTTAGCAGAAGCAACCAAAAACTTAGCTAAAACGATGTCAGCGCCACGTAGTGGAACAGTTATGAACTATCGGTACCTTTTTTCCGCCCAACAGCGACGGAGATGCGACAAGCGAGCAGAAGGAAGCCCGTTCGCAGAGTCTTTTCCGGTGGTCCGAACGTGAATGAAATCCTTTGCTCTTTTTAGTGGTGCGGTCAAAATGTCCGATCCTTGGCATCTGTGTTGATTCCGTGATTTAACGAGTACGTTTATCAAGTTTAAGTGGGTAGCTCAAACATGGAATGTGGTCATGTGACTTAACATGACATCAGTCCGCGATACAAAGTACCCTTACACCACACCTGCACAATGGCAGAATTACCAAAACAACCAACAATTCAGAATGTCACATTTGCTTTTGTATCAAAATATTTCGCAGAACAATGCGAATGTCAAACATGTAAAAGTGAACGGCGCTCCTATGAAGCTGCAGCCTACGTTATGTTCCGCACTGGAAGCACCGCTTGCAGAGTACTTACAGGATATATGTGATGACACCGACAGCCCACATGTCACAGCCCAGGCAGAGCGGCTCATAGTTGACGATCTCGGGCGATACGAACTCTGGCGTGCCTGCAACACAGGAGGACCCCGGCCGCCCGTCACCAGCCAGCAGTGTCATCAGCAGGTGTCAGCCCGCAGCACTATCAGTGGGTCACTGCAGGCGCCTCGACGGCACCGAGCGCCGTCCAGGCCCAGGCCGGCTGTCCTCGGCCGCTGCCCGAGAGACAGGCTCGGCAGAAGGCTGCCGGCTCACTTCCTATATGGCCCCTTCAAGGTCGTTTTGGTGACTTGGTAGGTCTCTTATCGAACTGGAACCGGAAAAACCGGCTATTATCATATGGCCCCCACAAAAAACAGTACGTTAGTTTGAGTCTTTTTTTAGTTTCAGCGCTTTACCTGCTTTTTCTCAAAAGTTAATACCGTTGGGCCTATCAAGCCGCTCCTTGTCGGGTGAGCGTGTGAAAACGGCTTCGTCGAGAGAGGGTTTCAGATATCTTACGTCCAGGGGCGCCACCACCAGTTTTTGATAGTGAGATGGACGAGGTCGTTAACGCATTACACTACCTGAATAAAAGATGAGTGAGAAAGCAAGCGTTTGATAACTGGTATTTTCCTAAATGACCATTGCTATGCAAATTCATCAACCGTCCTGCGCTGCACCATCGTAAGCTATGGGGCACGGAAGCCAGGTAGTGGGGCAGGTACTGAAACCTAAAACACTCAGAAGAACTAGCATTGGCTCTGTGGGCGTTGAATAAAAAGAAGCAATGGCTATTTCCTCCCTCCCAGCATGGAACGACACCATGCGCTCCGAGCCGGCGGAAACATCTTTTCTCGGTATATCGTGATTTCTTCTCAGCACAGTGCATGGAATTATTGGCCGATTTTCCGAAATTGTCCAGTGGAATGTGAATTTGAAACGACGCAATCATTGCAAACTTTGCAGAACCGTTTCCTCAGACACGAAGCCAACATTTTCCTCATGGGACCAGCTGTCAAATAGATTTTCTCCGTGATCCTGCGAAGCTGGACCAAAGTCCCTCGACATCGCCCATTATCTAGCGTAAATCTCTTGGCTCAGGGGGCCCATAGTCCCCCTGAAGCCATATTTCGTTACGTCCCCGCTTTTTCTTGAATATTTTGTTTGTATACGGTAGCCTAGGTCAAGTGACCTTATCTCAAAGGCAATTACTTTTTATGTTATGCGCTTGCATATTTTACAATATCTTATTTTAAACTCAATGTCTTAACATTATGATATACTTAACCAAGTTATGAGGTCATGATTTTTAGACTTCGACCAAGCCTAACCATGGTCGTAGTTAGTGACCTGCTTGGAAATTCGAAACTTCCCGAGCGTAAAATCAAATCCATAAAAGGTGGTAAAAACTTCGCGTCGCTAAGCTCCAGTATCCTTCGGCTAAGCCCGAAAACAATGAGGCGGACGGTTTTCCGCCCCCCCCCCCCCCACCAAGCTGGGATCAGGCCCTGCTTAAATTTCAAATAGAAAGTGAATCTCACCAAAGCTGTTGAAAAGACCATTGTTCAAAGGTGCAATTATATTGCACTAAAATAAAATCATAACAGCAGAGCCCATCATGTTTTCCTCAAATTTTACAAGTGCGGTAATGGATAAAGCAAAACGTTATATAATGATGCCGTCATGCAAGGCACCAAGGCACAAAATGTTTTAAAGTCAACAATCAATAAAATATACGAAAGTTGCACGGCCGTGTCAACTTGCGTTCTAAAGCTACTGTTCTAAAAACGACAGCGGGCGTCGTAAAAATACGTGACGGTTATTGGCGCAGAGCGTACAAAATAGCAGTGGC